ACATATTCGACCTTGAGCGGCATTCCTTGGAACAGTGTGGACAAGAATACAATTGTGCGCCGGTGTGTATCGCCATATGTTCCTAAAGAGCAAACAATTATTATTATTATTTTTTTTTTGAATTTGTTAGATTTAGCTAAAGTTAAAAACCTACATCTAGATTTCTCGTCTCTTTGAATGTCTTGTCGCAAAAGCTGCACTGCAAATTATACTTTTTCTTGTGCATATAGTTGATATGACCTCTTAATGCAGTACGTGAAACGCATTTACGTCCGCAATATTTACAATCCGTGTTAGTATTGTTGTGCTTGAATTGGTGAAGTCTGTGCACATGCTTATTTTTAGACCATTCACCACAAATATTACATTGCACTGGTGGTTCAATGATGCCCTGATGCTCCAGCACATGCCGTTCAAATGAGGGCTTAAATTTGAACGCCTTTCCACATATGTCACATATATGACGTTTAAGGTCTTCATGTATGGCCTCAATATGCTTGCGCAAACGCTGCGCATTTACAAAGCTGTGTAATAATATAAAGATTTGTAGATTAATATTACTTGTAAAATATCTTGTTTGTCAACAATTTCGTTGGCATTGTCAGTAAACCGCTTTAGTATTGAAAATCATATTGATATGTACATGCATATATCCATTTCAAAGACAAGCCACTGGTACTTGCGGAATAATTTTAAAATGTTAAAAGATACATATCTCCGCTCGGCAGAAAATACCTCGTATACGTCAAATGTAATACCACTTATGAGGTGGCACAGAAAAAATTCAGCCTCATTGCGTAAGTCGTAAATTAGGCTTAATTGTAGGACTCTACAACATCGGCATTGTCTACTGTCGTGCTGAAATAAGTAAACGACGAAAATAGTCGAAAACTATCAAGTTTTTCTGTTTTAAAACACTAGTCGAGTCGAAATTTTAGGCAATGACATGAAATTTTCGATACTATTCGATCCTCGAAAAACGATTTGCATTCGACACGATTCTCGCAATGAGGTTGAATAATTTTGATAACTCCGTGTCAGGTACAATTATTANGAATTCTTAGAAATAAAGTTACTGGAGAGTTGCTGGCAAGTTACTGGATAATTTGTAAAAAAACACAACTATTGTCTTCCCAGAGAGCGCATATTCCGATCTGCCTTTTTTAAAAGACATCGGGTGCAATCCCATATTCCTCGGACTAAAACTGCCAACAAATAAAAATTCGCTCAGAGTGAGAGAGTAACAGTGAAAAGTACACGTGTGTCAAGTTAGCACTACACTTTTCGAAATTGGAAAAGTTAA